AATATATATTTACATATGTGGAATTGTAGAACAGTACGCGTGGTTGTCGCTATGAAGACAGCACTGGATCTTATATAAACACATAGAAATTCACGATGGCGTAGAATCTGTATTTTCTTCAGAAAAATTAAATATTGTGTATTGCAGCATGTATTTTAAAAGTACTTCGGCAGAAACGATTTGATTCAAAAAGTCACGAGAGATATTCTAGATGCAATTTAAACTAGCAATGCAAAATAGCGTCAACTCGAGGCCAACTTATTCTAAAAACTTTGCCTTTGAAAGATGTGTTTATCACATCATCGGGAGACAATTATGTCGAACCTAGATATCTAATTAGCGAGTTTAATTATTGAACCTCATCTAACTAGTAGTCTCGGGTTGGTTGTTAAGATAATGATCCAGAATAATTTTGAGGGCCTTTCGGGGCTACGGACGTACAAGAATACCGACCTGAGTAGGTTGCACATGGAAATGTTACTAGGATTGTAAACATAGCTTGACAACGCCAAGCAACTGCGACATCTGAGCACACTGGAGGACCTAGTTGCTCACATATCGTGGTAATGGCGATTAATAATCATTTTTCTCTGCTGCTCTGTCGTTATCATCTGCGTTACTGCCGTTGTTCTTGCTGCTCATCGGCTTGCTATTCGTTTTCCTCAGATCCTCAATCATCTTCATTAGCTTCAGGTTCTGCTGCTCCAGATTCTTGACCCGACTCTCGAGACATTTAATGTACTCCTTTTTCTTTACGCGACATTGTCTGGCAGCTTCTTTATTCCTTTCAAGCCTTTTGACACGCTTCGCACTCTCGTCTCCACCGTCACGGTACACAGTTGCTCCCCCCTGCGAAGGCCCATCTTGTCGTGCACCTACGTTCGAGACGCCGTGTGGATGCATAGGCGGGTGTTGATTATATGCCACTATCGAGTTTGGCTGTGGAGGTGGTCCGTTGTAATTCATGTTCCTTCCACCGGGTCGCGGGCCTTGACTGATTGGTGCCATGCTCTGGTACTGATTCACTTGTGCTGCCATCGTGTAATATTCGTGTATGCCGTTGGTTTTTTGTGAATTTGCAGCGCTGAGAATCTGTCTCAGTATATATCCGTGTACTGACTCTCAAGTGGGGTCGCTTCTGACCTCTGCAATAATTCAGTAGCCGTAGCTGTGAGCCTTCAGCCTACCACCCTTCTTAGCAAATGAATGTATTGTAGTCGCAATATTTGTGAGACGAAATGACGTACGGCCTGACGTATATATTAAATCTATTTATTACGCAACCGAAAGTACGCCAGTCGCTGGAGTCTACGACTCTAAATACATTCTGCAGTCTACACCTACGACATTCACAAATTCGGGCGAATAGCAATAAAAAAAACCCAGCAGTAATAAATAAATACACAGAACTGTCAGAACAGCAGGAGGCATCTTATTTTATCTATAAAAAAAGGTGCCAAATCGAGAATTTTGAGACTCCAGAGTCGGTTTGAATTCTATTTAGAATGTTTTATTTATATTCTTGTCGTTTATATTTCGCGACCTTATATAATATATTTTATGTATCATACTTGCATTTGATGAGCTATTTAAGAAAAAACAAAAAACAAAAAAAGTGGAAACCTATACAAATAAAAACACACCTAATGTTTTTATATGTTTATCTGTTCACACACGACTTTCAAAATTGATATTTCAAAAATAAATGAATATAAGAGGGGCACACCTGAACGGCGCAAACTCAGCAGTCAGCACAGGTCACAGGGGTACAGGCCTACAGGCCCAGGGCCAGGCCCGCGCAGCCACGGCACAGGCCGCAGCCCAGTGAGCCCGCGGCCACAGCCTCAGGCCTACAGCAGTATTTAAACTGCACACAGGGTACACACGCAGGGTACAGAGGCCTGCGCCCTGCGGGCAACAACCAGCAGGCCCTAGCAGTCCGACAGCCTATACAGCCCCAGCAGTCCTACACTTACAAAGACCAAAAAGTGCAACACCAACAGTCCCACAGAGAATACAGACCCACACATTCCTACAACCCACGACCCACGGTCTCACACTCACAAGTCACAGCCCACACTGGCACACTCCCCAAACTCACAGGCGATAGCGGCAAGAGAGCTAAATTAAGAGTTGTTTTGTACATTTGTTTTTAAAATATTTACATAAATAAATAATAGATTCTTAAATTTAACTCGTTACCTCGCCCAGTCATAAATAGAGGACCAATGGGAGAGGTCCGAGAGCCCGAGACTGTCCGTTGAGTTTCCGGGCAACCGCAAAAACTGGACTGTCGGACGCACATGACATATTTATTTAAAAATAAAAGAAGGGGCAGACAGGGGCACAGGGCACAGCACAGGCGAGACGCAGACTACAAACTCAAAGAACAGTGACACACTGACAACTCATCGGACGAGATTCGAGGAGAGAGCACGGACTGGACCGTCGGCTCAAAATATAGTATATACGACCCAATTTCTGAGACCTGGTCACTGATCACTCACCTCTTCTTCTGTTCTCTGATGTTGTGAGTTGTGAATGTGACTGAGACACTAAGTCCCGAGTCTCGAGTCTGGACTCTGGACTGTCAGTGAGACGAGTCAAATTTTTAACTTTGTACGAAGGCTAAAAGGCTTGTGTTGAAGAGTTGTGTTGAAGAGTCACATGAGAGTTGACTTGAGACTTGTGTGAGAGAGTTGAGACTTTGAGAGTTGAAACTTGTGAGAAGGAGAGTCACCTCCGAATCCCGAAATGAGGAACAGAAGACTGAGAGGGTTTTTAAAAATAAAATAAAATAAATAAAATATTAGTGTAAATACAGTATCTATCGTATCCTACTTCCCACAGTCACAGGTGAGGTCACTATTGTGCCGATTCCTCATTTACAACCATTTGATTATCATCACATGGTATAAAATCCGAGGGAGGTATGCAGAAGTAGGACTAAAATATAGCATATATGGTGCACAGCAGTAAGTACCAGGACGTTCATCCTGATTTTCACCCCTAAATATTTCCAAAACTAGCCGTACATTTTTCCGAAAATGAATTTTTGCTTTTGGCAGATCATAATAATGCCAAAACCGATGACATTCCAAAAAACGACATTCTGGAGTTGTGGTGCTCCCTGTGTGTGTGGGTGGGCCAAACAATACAATGTGAGTCCTATGTTTATATTAGATAAAATGTACTTTTGCCCGGCCCAAATGTTTTACACTAGAAAATGCTATCAAATTTTGACTTGCACATTGGGGGCTAAAGGCCTTGAGGAATGGAGGTCACATCGACTTAAAGCCGTCGAGTTTTTAGGTTTTCACCGTTGGGATCTCGTGTTATAGCCAATACATCGCTCCAAAAGCCCCGGATTGTGAAAGGACATCTGGGCTGAACAAGATTTTTTTTCTAAGGTTTGCTCCAAAAAGTTAGCCGAATATTATTGATCTATAGGTTGCGCAGAGCCCAAAACTGCTCTCAAAATCGATTTTGGGTGATTAGAAAAAATGTGACCCCAGTACATATGCGGTCCCTAGGAACGACCTGGTTCTTCTGCTGTGCACCATAGGTGATAGGCTGATAGCCTGATAGGTGACATTTGACAACTTCGGACCCGGGGCCTGGTTACAGCTAACTTTTGACTGGGGGAGCATTCTATATACTGTACATACTTCGTTTTGCTATTTAAATAAAAATAAAAATACAAGAATGCACTTCTATCTACTTTGATTGATTTAAAAAAAAAAAATGCAACTGGTGGATTTTCTATTCCTCTGCTGGAGTGCTGGGTCGATTTGTACTGGAGGAAATGCCTTTTTTTATAAAAACAGTAAGGAACATAGGCTATGATCTTTTCATCACTAGACACTTAATTTTTAATCCTCTCTCACAAAAATGGTCTACATATACTCGGTATTTAAAGGCGTACTTTTCCCGGCACAATATCGTGTAGAGTCAGTACACGTGTACAAAACGACAAAAATAAAACAATAATTGTTTTGGGTGATAAAAAAAAATTTAACAAACGAATATCATATTTGTACAATAAAAAAACGGAGTTGAAATTTTAAAATCACTCGACTCAAGTTGCCTCTGAACTCTGGACTGGGGAGTGTCTGGACTCTGGACTCTGGAGTCTCTCTGGAGAAGTGGAGACTGTAGTTTAAAATTCTAAATTTGTTGTCATTTTAGTAGAGTGGAATCAGTGGATTTAGAGTTCTATATGTACCTCTATATACATTATGAAGTTTGGGTTTATTTTTCAAAGTAGGAATTTTCATAGCTTTCTGTCCGGAAATTAAACAGGGGGTTTTTTAAAATAAAGAACAAAATAGTAGTTTTTTTTTGGGACACATTGCTTTGTTTTAAAAAAACAAAAGAAAACAAAAATCATTAGCCTCAGACTCTCAACAGTTCTCTACTTCTCAGAATCTCAAAAAAAAATGTGTAATAAAAAAACAAAACAAAAGGTTGTAAATACCTGTGAGTTGCACATGTGCGAGATGATTGAATCATATCGAGTCCCTATGACGTATACTTCAGAATTCGATAACGACATCCGCGATCCAGGCTCCGGCTAGAAAGAGCAAGAGTCACCAATGACGTATGCAGACCTACCTCACCTCGAGCCCCAAGGCCAAGGGTCTCAGACCTCAGTCACAGGGAGTCTGTGTTTTTTAATCTGCAACAGATTGATGACAATCCATCACCAGATTCACCACTCCCTGAGAGTGAGTCACTGAATGTTTAAAAATAGTAATAGAAATACTACGTATGTGGGAGATTGCCATGGCCCTCTTACTTTCTCTCTATGTACATACTAGTTATTTCTAAAAAACGTGGGAGAGCTCGTGAGGCGGAGGCCCGCGATAGAAATAAATAATTTGTACACTATTATGAACGAGTATTCTCTAATTGGCAACTGCCTATGAGTGAATACAACTGCCTATGAGTGAATACAGCTGCGTATATGTGTTTGATTCTACAGAGTTCTGTCTTCTGACCATAAAAAAGTATTCGTGACGTAAACGATAAGGCTATATCGACCACACGTTGGCTAGGCATGAATAGATTACATATCGGTCAAACCTTAACCAAACATTGTGGCGTCAGCGAATGTACGACAGTTAGGATACATGTTCGCTAGCTAGCTCACACGAGATACTCAAAGAAACGAATTTTTATAGATGCTTATATGATCATCAATCGCTCTGATATATATATATATATATATAAACTGATTGATACACACACACACACACACACACACATACACGCACGCACACACACACACACACACACACACACATATATATATAAATTTATTTATAAATATAAATCT